AGTGGATTGGATACTCGTATCTCTTTGTCCGCATGCAACGAAGCCCAATGAGCTACGGCATTGAGTGGGCTGAAATCAGAGACGATCCCACTCTTGTTCAGAGACGTCGTACGCTGGGTATCCAGGCAGCCCGAACTCTTCAACAGAGCCAGATGATCATCTTCAATGAAGTGACCGAGGAGCTCCGCAGCAAGGATATCGGCCGCATTGCCAGTCAGTACTACATCTTGCACACGAGTGTTCAGATCTTCAACACCATGATGCGCCCCATGGCCACTGAGGCCGATATTTTAAAGATGATCGCTATGAGCGGAGAATTTGACAATATCCAGTCTAGAGACTCTGAAGAAAAGGAGCTCACGCGTCTGAGGAACGACGTCGTTCCTTGTGACGTCGATGGCGGCATTGACACGCCTCAGGCCAAGACCAATATCCTGTTGCAGGCATACATCTCGAGAGCGCAGCCAGAAGACTTTGCTCTTGGCAATGATCTTAACTATGTTGCTCAGCAGGCGGGCCGTATTTGCAGAGCCTTGTTCATGATTGCTCTGAATAGGAGATGGGGACATCTGTGTCTGGTTCTACTTACCCTTGCCAAGTCTATTGAGAAACGCATCTGGCCGTTCCAGCACCCCCTACATCAGTTCGATCTCCCCAAGTCAGTCTTTAATCAGCTCGATGCCAAGGACAACATGACCGTGGAGGCAATGAGAGACATGGAGTCTGCCGAGATTGGTAGCCTGGTTCATAATCAGAACGCAGGCAAGAAGATTGCACACATTTTGAACAACTTCCCGACCATCAGCGTCGAAGCGGAAATTGCGCCACTCAACCGCGATGTTCTCCGAATCAAGTTGTTCATCGAGCCTGACTTCCGATGGAATGACCACATTCACGGGACTTCCGAGTCGTACTACATCTGGGTCGAAAACTCTGAGACCTCTGAGATCTACCATCACGAGTTCTTCCTTCTGAACAGGAGGAAGCTCCACGATGAGCACGAACTCAACTTCACCATCCCTCTTTCGGATCCCTTGCCCACTCAGATCTATGTAAGGGCAGTATCTGACCGATGGCTTGGCGCTGAGACGGTGACACCTGTTTCTTTCCAGCACCTTATTCGCCCAGATACTGAGAGCGTGTACACTGACCTCCTCAACTTGCAACCGCTACCCATCAGTGCTCTCAAGAACCCGGCTCTCGAGGAGATTTACGCCCAGCGCTTCCAGTACTTCAACCCCATGCAGACTCAAATTTTCCACACCCTCTACCACACACCCGCCAATGTTCTCCTCGGATCTCCCACCGGCAGTGGAAAGACCGTTGCGGCAGAGCTGGCGATGTGGTGGGCTTTTAGGGAGCGGCCAAAATCCAAGGTTGTTTACATTGCGCCAATGAAGGCTCTAGTTCGCGAGCGTGTTAAGGATTGGGGAGCTAGACTTGCTAAGCCTCTGGGATTGAAGCTCGTCGAACTGACAGGTATGTTGCATGCGCATTTCGATCCCGGAATACCCATTGACCTGACTAGGTGACAATACCCCTGATACGCGCACCATCAAGGATGCCGACGTCATCATCACTACACCCGAGAAATGGGATGGTATTTCTCGTAGTTGGCAGACAAGAGGTTACGTTCGACAGGTGAGTCTTGTCATTATTGACGAGATTCATCTCCTCGCTGGTGATCGTGGTCCGATTCTGGAAATCATCGTCTCTCGTAAGTGTGCACGCGGTGAATGCAACCTAGCAAGGTGCTGACCCACTCAAGGCATGAACTACATCGCGGCATCCATCAAGAACTCTGTCCGCCTTCTTGGTATGTCGACAGCGTGTGCCAACGCCACTGACCTGGGCAACTGGCTCGGTGTTAAGGAGGGCCTGTTCAACTTCCGCCACTCTGTGCGTCCGGTTCCGCTGGAGCTGTACATCGACGGTTTCCCCGAGGTCAGAGGCTTCTGCCCGTTGATGCAGTCCATGAACCGCCCGACATTCCTCGCTGTCAAGACGCACAGCCCAGACAAGCCTGTCATCGTCTTTGTGCCGTCTCGAAGACAAACGCGTCTAACAGCCAAGGACCTCATCAACTACTGCGGCATGGAGGACAACCCACGCCGATTCCTCCACATGGACGAGGATGACCTCCAACTCAATCTCGCCAGGGTCAAGGACGATGCTCTCAAGGAAGCCATCAGCTTTGGTATCGGACTCCACCACGCCGGTCTGGTCGAATCTGATCGTCAACTAGCTGAGGAACTTTTCCTGAACAACAAGATCCAGATCCTCGTCGCCACCAGTACTCTCGCGTGGGGTGTCAATCTGCCGGCCCATCTCGTCGTCGTCAAGGGCACGCAGTTCTACGACGCAAAGATTGAAGGTTACAAGGACATGGACCTGACGGACGTCCTCCAGATGCTGGGACGCGCCGGCCGCCCGCAATTCGACAACTCCGGCGTGGCTCGCATCTTCACAAAGGATGCCAAGAAGGACTTTTACAAGCATTTCCTCCATACCGGCTTCCCCGTCGAGTCGTCCCTCCACACGGTCCTTGACAACCATTTGTGCGCCGAAGTCTCGGCTGAGACCATTGTTACGAAGCAGGACGCCCTCGACTACCTGACCTGGACCTTCTTCTTCCGCCGCCTACACAAGAATCCGTCCTACTACGGCCTCGAGATCTCGGCCGAGGAGCACAACAGCATCGCCGCCCAGACCATGGCTAACGACTACATGATTGAAATGATTGACAAGTCCCTCGACGAGCTCGCCCGCTCCAGCTGCGTCGAAGTCTTCCCCAACGGCGACGTCGACCCCACCCCGATGGGCAAGATCATGAGTTACTACTACCTCTCCCACATCACCATCCGCCACCTCGTCAAGCACGTCAAGGCCGCCGCCTCCCTCCTCGACGTCCTCTCCTGGATGTCCCGCGCCACAGAGTACGACGAGCTCCCCGTCCGCCACAATGAAGATCTCATCAACGAGGAGCTCTCCCGCAACCTCCTCTACCCCGGCAGCTCTTTTGGCCTCCCCATGTGGGACCCCCATGTGAAAGCCTTCCTCCTGCTCCAGGCACATATGTCACGCATCTCCCTCCCCATCACCGATTACGTCGGCGACCAGACCAGTGTGCTCGACCAGGCCATCCGTATCATCCAGGCCTCTATCGACGTCACAACCGAGCTAGGCCACCTCTCTACCTGCCTTCAGTTCATCACCCTCCTCCAGTGCATCAAATCCGCCCGCTGGCCCACCGACCCGCCCCCCTCCATCCTCCCCGGCGTCGGCCTCGACACCCTCAAGACGGACAAATCCAACCTCACCCTCGCGAAGATCTCAGCCCTCGCCTCCTCCCCATCCAAAATCACCTCCCTCGCAAAACAGCTCTCCGTCCCGCCGCACCAACAACCCCGTTTCGCCAAAGCCGCATCTCAACTCCCCAACCTCGCCGTCTCCGTCCCCGTAGCGGAAACCACGGCCCTAGGCATCACAGTCGACATCCGCCGCCTGAACGCCCTCACCGAACGCGACGCCCACGTCTACGCGCCCCGCTTCCCGAAACCTCAGAATGAAGGTTGGTTCGTCCTCCTCGCCGACCCGGCCCGCGACGACGTCCTGGCCGTCAAGCGCGCGGGCTGGTCCGGAGGTGGACCCGGCCGCAGCGTCGCCGTCGGGTCCAAGCCCACCGCCCGCGTGTCTATCAAGGTCCCCGAGACCGCGCAGGGCAAGAAGCTCGAGGTCATTGTCGTCAGCGACGCGTATGTTGGGCTAGAGTACCGCGTTACCGTCGACGTCCCCGCGGCGCCGGTCGTGGATGACGATGTGGATAAGTCGAAGAAGGCGCAGCTTCAGCAGCATGGTGATGGTGCTTCTCGAGCTTGAGAACGACGCACATACACTCAGTCATTGTAGATCAAAAGCTCAGCGGGTAGCATGTAGGAGAGGACAGGGGGAAAAGATGCTCGTTGCAGTGGCAGTGGCAATGAGATTTGGGCTATATTAGATGCGGCGTAGATGGAGAAAGAAAGTGCTATGGATGCAGATGATAAGAAACCCGCTGCTGCTGCTGCTGTTGGGACATGAGAGGCCCCATCTAGACTCAAACGAAACAATATAAACAAGAAGAGAACACCCATTTCCCATGCCTTTATGACAATGGAAACCGTTGAACAAGACGAAAACAACATGTGAAGAATGCTCTCTCGCGAGAGATGATGTTCCCCCTCCTGTCCATGTAAACAAACAAAGTGTACGTAAAAAGCCCAAGAAAAGAAAATCTCTCGCCCAATGAGCAGAATTAAGGGGCGGGGTAGAAGGAGATTCAATCCCTCGTACCCAGTGCCCATGACACGACAAAATATGAAAAAAAACATCCTTCATCCGCAATATGTAAACGACAAGGAATCAAGACATGCCTTCCTTTCCCAAAAGACCTCAACAGAGTGAAACTCGTTCCCAAACATCTTTGAAATCCTCCTCCTCTCTTTCCGTGTACTGTGATCCCTCCCAATGTTGAGCACCATTCGCAACTGATGAGTGCTTCAATAACCAAAACAAATCCAAGATAAACGCCTTCGCACCATGCTTGCAGCCTTCCAGGGAAATAATCATCGTCGTGGTTCGTTCGCTGTGTACTGTAATCAAAATGCGTGCTCGGTGTGTCTAGCCCGAATGATGCGTCTTGCTGCTGTTGCTTCCGTATTTTGCATCTGGGCCGGCAACTGTGACTCGAGCTAGTAAGAGCATATATGCCCCAAGTCGGCCATGCGTATCGTCTTCGTCGTTGTCGTCGTCGGATATGCCTCCCAAGTCGTTGGAATCCATTCGTACCCCTCCTCTCATGTCGTGCCGGAACGCGGATGCCAGTCGTTGGTGCAATCCAGCTTTCCATCCATCATGCAAAGGACGTAGAAGGCATGTGCACGAGGCCCATATTCCAGAGTCTCGTCCGCACATCTCTCGTCTCTGCATGTCGTACTCCTTCTCCTTCTCCAGAACGACTTTCAACAACACTTCCTCCGTGATTTCCCAGCACCCTCATCGGCGTCCTGCTCCGTCCCACCCTGCTCAACCGTAACAGCAGGCGAAAAGTTTGGCGAAAACAGCCAGCTCCGCCGGTCCCGTCCGACCCGGAAGCTGCCCCTGGGATTCATACCGTCAAAGTACCCGCCGTCCATGCCCGTCTCGTACCCGGGCGTACCAGGCGTAGCCGTAGCCAGCAACAGCGCCTGCTGCATCTTGCGGTTCTGCTCGACGAGCTTCCTCGTCACGACGCGGAACACCTCCTCCACACCCTCGCCGCTCTCAGCGCTGATCTCGTGGCACGCGTCCCAGCCGACCTCCTGGCCCCAGAACCCGGAACTGCGTTTCGAGGACGGGCTGCGCGGCTCGCCTCCGCTTGGTCCGCCGCCGCCGAATGTGCTCGTGCTCTGGTGGACCTGCGAGGAGGACTGGCGCGGGTCGGAGGAGGAGAGAAGGGAGGGCATGCCGCTGGAGGTCGCCGTCGGGGGCGGTGTCGAGGCCAGGCCGGGAGCGAGGTTTTCTGCGACGTAGGCTATGCAGCGCTCAAAGGGGACTTCGCGGCGGGAGGGGTCGCGGGCGACGATGTCTGCTTTCGTGCCGACGACGTGGAGGACGACGTCGCCGGGTAGGTTGCGGCGGAGCTCGGTGAGCCAGACGCCCATTTCGGTAAAGGACTGGGCGTCTGTGATGGAGTAGCAGAGAATGCAGGCGTTGGCGCCACGGTAGTAGAGGCGGGAGATGGAGCGGAAGCGTTCTTGGCCGGCTGGAGGGACGGAAGACACACATGTTAGTAAACCGAACAAGTCTCTTTTTGCGACTGCGACATCAAAGTTGACAGAAAGAGTAACTTTGTTATCGCAGCTGGTGGGCAGGGCAGGTGAAAGTGAGGGAAAAGCATACCGGTATCCCAGATCTGTAGCCGCACCACGGTGTCGGTATCGCTATCGACGACGCGCTTGGTCATGAAGCTCGCGCCGACGGTGGATGTTGTCTGGGCCGGGTTGAAGGCGCCCTTGCAATAGCGCATGACGAGGCTCGTCTTGCCGACATTTTGGGAGCCGAGGACGACGATCTTTGCCTCGAGAGACGACATCCTCCCTTCTCTCTCTCGGATGCCCCGTATGCAACGGGGAAAATGAGAGGGTGAGGTTGGGTGGAGGAGAGGAGGGAGGAGTAGCGCGGAATGCGCTTTCTTGAGGAGTGAAGGTCGGATCGATCGGTTAGGTGGAGAGAAGCGAATGTTTGACCAGGGCAGGTTTGCCTTTGGAAAGTGGTTCGGTGCGTGATGCGACCGAGAGCCTGAGGGGTGGCAGCTGTGGTGGTAGTGGTGGTGGTGGTGGTGGGCACCGGCAGTGAAGAGGGGACACTGCTGGAATTCGGTGAGGGACAGCGCGGGAATGTTGGTGAGAATGGGTTTGTTGAAGAATCGTGGGGGGACTCAGGAGGGAGTGAAGCTCAAACGGGTGTGGCTTTCGTGCTAATCCTCGATTGGGGAAGACGATGTTTGATCCTTTGGAGGGAAAAGGGTAAAGACGACCGTTTGATTTCGAGGGAGGAGGAGGACTCGACGAAACGTTGGTGGTTGTGGTGGTGGCTTCCGCTCGGTGCGCGGCTTTCTCTCTCGTCTGTTGTGATACCGGGGGTGTGGTAAGGTAAGGTACCTGTGTACACGAGGGAACAACAAACACAATGCGCTCTTTTTTCGGTTCTTTCCTTTCTACTCAGTCTTTTCTTCTCTAGTGTCCTTTTGTCTTTCTTCGCTTAGGGTAAGTGCGTGAGTCCTAGATCGAAACGTAGTCACGCCGGCGCCAAGTTTAAAACGCAGGCAGCCACGAGGCCAGTGATCGGCCGATGAGGCGCGTGGTGGTTATGGTGGTGGTGGTGGGTGCCCGCCTTTTCGGTAAGCGGGACAGACAGATTTGGGGGAACTGGATGGGAATCCGAGTGTGCATGAGACTGCGTTTCTGAGGTGAGATTGAGCTGCGCCGGTAAGGACGGGAGGACCACGAGATTTTCGTTGAAACGCAGAGTTGGAAGTAGGCGATTCGGCTCCGAGGAGTGTTGTAACGGCCGCTAGCAACGGACGAGGATGTGGGTTGTTTGATTTCTCGGTGTTGTTTTGTTTGTTTTGTTGTTGTATTTTTCTCTCTTTATTTCTCTTCGCCTACGTAACAAGGGGGGATGGTGGGATAAGGATCACGGACGGGGGATGGGGGAGATGATATGGATTCGGTTCTATCGTTCAATATCCATAGAAATCATACAAGTTGAAATAATCCTACTATTGTGTTTGAGGTAGTTCACATCGAGAGATTGGAGTTGCATCCCACCTCCATTTTCCGTTTCTGTTCGAGACCAAGGTGCGTTCCGAACGAGCACCATGTATGGAGTTAAGTGGTTGGCGCGGGGGAATGAGGCTGAGGCCGTGGGGTTTGGCTGTGCTATAGCTATCTCATGTTGGGATCAGAACGGTTCGTTATCAGGAGAAACTGCTGATAGATGCGATATGCTTTGTTTAGGAAGGGATCTTGCATGGACGGGTGTTGGGGAACTTGAGGGGGCATCTGATCTATCAGTGTATCAGATGGCGAGCGATGATCCCAACTGCTTCTTCTGCTTCTTCTAGAAATGTTCCACTCAGGCACTCACCTCTCCGCGAACTAATCGGCACCAGCTCCGCCTCCATTACCTACTCAGGCCAATGTTGAATCACAGTTTACTGCATGCAATCCAAGGCATTAACTTTGCAAAGATGCTCTAAGAGTCAGTCGCATTATCTTCCACCTAGTCATCCGATTTGGAGATGGTCGCGTGGTGCACTCGAAGCGGGTCCCTCTCCAAAAAACGCACAATGTCGTCATCGGTCCAAGGTCATTGCTTCTTTTGTTCTTTCAAGTTCGAAGCGAACCATATGTCGCCAACGGCCGCCTCGAAAGTTTGGGAACGATTGAGACGAACGAACAGAAACCATTTGAGCTTTTGAAATCATTACCTTGAGGAAGCATATGCACGATTGAAGCCAATCGGTCCTCGGCAATCGGAGGTCCATTGTTGTAAAGGTTGTTCGTACTCATTGGCTAGTCCCGCGACGGCGCGGTAAGTATGTAAGCCAAGAACCGGGACAACTCACCAACTACAAGAGCCCTATGGTCGGTCTACAGATACAACTCGTCAACTAAGAATTTTGAGGAGAAAAAAAAAAGGATCCAGATTAATGGCATGTGAAGAAGATACTTGTGCGCCTCGATGCTTTCCATGGGCAAAGCGGACTCTCAAATATTGGGGAAAGCAGAAAGACGAAACTCATCCCGCTGCGCTGCGGTGCTGTTCTCGACATACGGCACTTTGTCGTGACACCGGCGTGCTCTTTCCAGTCTGGTGGTGCCTTTTGACATTTGTAGGTGTTGAAATCTGGTTTGACCGGGTAGATGAAGTTATGAAGTTGGTTAAGTGTTGTAGGCAGTAGTCTCACAACTGCAGCACAGCCATGTAATCGTTGGCTAGGTACGTTATTTCGCCTCCAACGTTCCGTAGCCGTCAAGGAATGTGGGGTATTCGAAGTTGATCATCAAATTCAACAACACAACTCAAGTACGACCTTACTCTTGTATCAAATAAATCACACTCGGAACTCCTTGTATTAAACATTACTTTTTCTATTTGATTCGCTCTGGTATCTAATTAGGTATTGTCTAATGTCTAAAATTGTTGCTTTTCTTTTCTCTAATCCCGCTTTCCAAAAAAATAATCAGAATTCGCTACATATTAGGTATCATCATTCTTCTTTTTCTTCCTCTACAAGACAACGTGCAGAGTCTTCGCAATGCTAGGCGTGCCCTGTGCATTCGAGACAAAGAGGAAGTAGAACCCAGGGAGCAGGATGCCATAGTCCTCGGGCAACTTGGCGGAGAAAGACTGGCCATCAACCTGCACATCGTCGAGCGGGATGCGGCGCTGGTCCGTGTTGGACGAGTGCGTGACGCTACCGGTGCGGATGAGGGTGACCTTGGCACCCTTGCCGCCAGCCTCGACGCCCTCAACGGAGAAGGTAATCGTTGCGCCGGCCTTGACGGCCTCCTCGGTGACCCCGGACACGACGGGCCGCGCAGCCTTGGTGCCGTCGGCGTTGTACAGGTAAGGGGGCTCAAAGATTTCGCCGTCGGCGTGGTCGACCGTCTTGTCGCAGCCGGCTGTCGAGCCCAGGATCTGCTGGACGTAGCACAGGCCGCCACCGCCGGTGAAGACGGTGGCGTCGGGCATGAGGATCGAGACGGAGTGGTAGTTGCGGGGGACGGCCATGGGCGCCATCTGCTTCCACTCCTTGGTCTCCGGGTTGAAGAGCTCGGCGATGAGGATGCCGTCCGTGTTGGTGAAGACGAGGGACTTGCGCTGGCCGCCCGTCACAAGGACCTGGCCGTCGGGGAGGACCACGGCGTTGGCGAAGCCGCGGGGGAAGGCCATGTCCGCCACGCGCTCGACCTCGGACGGGGTGCCCGGCTCGCCGATGGTGGTGATGTGGGCGTGCACGGTGGCGTCGCTGTCGGTGTAGTCGGGGCTTCCGCCGGCCGAGAGGATCTTGCCGGCGACGGCGTCGTACATGACCCAGGTGCCGCACATGGCATCATCGTCGTCGCGGGTGGCGGCCTTGGTGACGGAGCCGGTACCCTCGATGCCGAACCAGTGCTGGTCCTTGCCCGGGCCGGCCTGGAAGATACTGTTGTTCTTCCAACCAAAGAGCCATGCGTGGTTGTCCTCGCGCCAGATGCCCTCGTGGTCGTTGGTCAGGATCGGGGTGACGTCGGCACCGGGGAGGTAGGTCCACTCGTTAGCCTCGGGGTCGTACACTTCGCCGTTCTTGCCCTCGCGCTTGCCAGAGTAGGCTCCGCCAATGGTGAAGATCTTGCCGCTGGAGAGGAGTGTAGAAGTCTGGTAGCCACGGGCGACCTTCAGATCGGGGCCGCGGGTGAAGTTATTAGTGGCTGGGTCGTAGATGCTGACGGCCTCGGCGTCGGAGCCGCCCTGGATGACGATGCGACCATCCTGGAGCTGGCTGATGGCCGGGCAGAACATGTCGTGGTGGGTGTTGGTGACGGCGCGCTCAGAGATCTCGCCGGTAGCGAAGTTGTAGTCACCGTACTGGGTCATGCCGGAAGCACCGCCAAAGGCGTCCACTCCCCATGATGAGAAGAACAGCAGTCTGCTCGGCTCGGGGTAGGACGGGACGATGTAAGCCGCAACGGGAATCACGGGCAGACGAATGAGGTCGCCCCATTTGCCCTGGACGGCCGGGTTGATGTTCTCGGGGACGTGGATGGTGTCGAATTGCTTGTTCTGAACCCAGAAGAGAGACGTCTCGGGCTCGGCGGCCTTGATGTGGCAGACATTGTTGATATTGTCGAAAACAGCCTTCTTGCAATTCTGAGTGATTGAGCAGAGCTCGGAGCAGGCTTGGATAGTCGTCACATCCTGAACAATCTTGGCGCTGTTGCCAGTGTAATCGGTGCCGCGGCAGACACGATAGTCGGCGCTGCCCTTGGGAACTCGGTAGCCCTCCTCCTTGAAGGGGCAGGTAGCGAGGAATGTGCCGTCGACAAAATCGTTTGTCATACGGATAGAGTCGAAGCGGTCGTCGGCTGCCCAGTTCATCTCGTTCTTGGTGTCCTTGACGTGGCAAACCTTGAGTTCCTTGTCGTAGACGGCTCTGTTGCAGCGAGCATCCTTGTCACAGATCTGGACACACTCGACCGTGGTCTGGACATTTTGAACGTATTGGAGACTGCCGCCACCATACTGGTAGTCAGAGCCAGGACAGACGGTATACTTTACTCCGATGGGTGACTCCCATTCGGCCTCATCGTTCGGGCAGGCTGTGATGGCCGCGGAGGAGAACCGTGAAAAGAGAGAGGCGGCCGCGATGGCCTTGTATGCGGTTGAACGAACCATGTTGGTGTATTGGTGTTTTTTGGAGCTGAACTGCGCGTGTAATAGAGAGTGTGGTTCCTCAAAGAGATCGAGGCTGTATGTGTGTTTGTGTATTGATGAGTGAGTGTAGGTGTTAGACACGTATAAGCAATGAGAGACATGTGTCTATAATTAAGTATAGCACAAAGAGTAAGGAGAGGCACGAGAGGCTACTCGTGGGAAATTGTCGATGAGAGCGGTGTTGAAGAAGAGAGGTCTCAAAAGGGCAGAGAAGAGGAAGAAACTCGACGATATGTATATACACAACTGCCTTGCCGGGCACATCGTGCATCACAGCTCCATCTGCGGCACTTCCGCAGAGGAGAGGACGCTCCAAGAGAGATCCATCATCCAAAATGTGGAAACTCTGGAGCCCCCAAGCTAGGCTGCGCCATCCCGCAGGTGCAGTTATGGCCCGATAGAGTCTGCCGGGGAGTTGGTCCTTCGTCGACGCCGAGTCGGCGCTGGCGAATGGCGAGGCTTCCCGAGCCGTGATCCCCATCGAGAAAGAGGATAAGGTGGGAACCATGCCCAGATGCTAAAGCCAGGCGCTGGCCTTGGGGCCGGTTGGAGGTCCAAGTAGGAAAAGCCCGTGATGTGGGAAAGGCAGGCAGAAGAAATCGTGTGGAGATTCTGAGAAGCCGCTCGGCCATCCATCAGGCTCGTCGTGTTGCTTCTGGTTCATCCTCATCCCATAAGTCCCACGGCCGCCCGAACAAGACGGCTAGCGGTCAGGCACGCCGCACTACGACGACGACGGCGGCGGTCAACCTGAAGCCTCGAGCCTCGAACCTTTCCCCCTTTGATATACCCCTGCACAGACCCGCAGAGAGCCCCATTGCTGTGGTTGCTGTAAGCTGGGATCTCCCTCGGGCTCTCGCCGTGGATCGCATGAGTGATCGTCGAACACTGCCTCGAGCTTCGAAGGTTTGAACAGGAAAAAATCGTCTGAACATTCATGCCTGTCAAAGCTTTTGCCGTGTTTCCCACGAGAGAAGCTGTCAAATAAGGTTACCCGTCGTCCGATGTTCTGGGGAACACACACACACACACACGCGCGCACTTTGACTTTGGCCGTCTTGACGTAAACAACTGTGCAACTTGGCAGCATCATCCCGTCAGTGTCGTTCTTGTTGACGTTGGCAAAGCTGGACCGCCCTGCCATGACCCTTGCAGGCAAATAGAGGACCTCCTCCACGGCCAAGACCAGTGAGTAGATGAACGGAGAAGACCGAGCAATTCAGCGACGACAGCTGGGTCGGGCACGGAGTAGACACCGACCAGTCACCATGTTCATGTTGTCGTTGCTGGCTGCACGTATCCCGTTCGCCTCGAAACACGCGTAGTTGCTGCCCAGATTCATCAGGGACAATTTTCTTAGGTTTGGTGCTGTGCTTCCTCGTATGGATAACGCCACATATTTCCCGAAGGCCCAGACGGTGAGAGTTCGCGTCTTCGTATAAGAGTAGCGTGTTGGACGATCAGCGTATGGCGAAATAAAAGAGGGCACGGGATCGACTCTCTGCTAGATCGTCTGGGAACTCGAGAGCGATGCAGTGCCTGGGAAGGGTCTACTGCGACTCTGCAAGACCGGCACAGCCCTACGAAAGCTAGCCGCCGGTAATCTGCGTCGAAACATGGTTGGACGCTGCCTTATCTCTGGAGACGCACAAAAGTCGGCACAAAAATAGAAAGCCGTTCATCCGGTGTGGGAGGAAGCCCGCCAGGCTGCCCAGGGCCAGCCAGGCTTGACCAGTGGGTGGGGGTTTGGAGAATAAAATGATAGGGAAGAAAAGAAAAATCTCCCCGAAGTTTTGGCGCAAAGTCAAAAAGCGTCGACGCAGGAACCCGGTCACCTTACGGAGTAGTGTTGTTGTTGGAGAAGGGGAAGAAGTTGGAAGGGAAGAGCCCCGTTGGCCGGATTCTGAAACGAGCAAGACATTGTGTCGATCTCGCCCAACTTGGCGTTCTTACCCCTGCCTGTCGAGGACGTCGCTAAACCCTCTCGGGACGACGGCCAAGAGATCGTGGAGTCCCCCGGCTCCCCTTTTTCGCAAACCGTAATGTCTTTTTTGATTGCACTAGAGCCTCTATGACTCGTATTCTCTCCTTCCATAACCGCTGAATCGCTCCAACCTTCCAAGTATACTTTGTAACCGTATGCGTCTCCTTTTCTTAGCCTGCTATCTGCATATGCCCCAGCCTCACGAACTCAGGACAAATGCAAAATGGATTGGACGGATGAACGTGCACATAAACATCGTATCTGCCCCATCTCCAGTGCAAATCTCCAATGCACAATGCGTCGCCTTTGTCCGGACTTTGACGTCACACCCGGCGGCGGGTAGCCGGACGGGCCGATCGCCTTGAGGTGGGAGCCGAGCATGACGCCGATCACCGTGAGGAATTGAGGCTCTGCCGTGTTCTCGTACGACTTGCAATTCATCGCATTGCATCCACCACATTGGGTTTCTGGGGTGAACATTCATCAGCATTAGTCGTATACCGTCGAGGTATGGATGGACTGTATATCTGCCAACGAGGGTTGGAGTTTCACCGCAGAACAACAAGTTTGAACACGACTGGAACTATTGTGAGGGTATCTCTCTTGAAACCTCGTGTTCACTAGCTTGCGGGCGCTAGGGACGCTGCGGACCCGAACTCCTCTACATCAAGCCACGAACAACGGAACAAGGCCGCGTGAGTAGTCGACAGCTCCATTCTAACGGTCATTGCGGCTGTAGATGCCGACGGTAGACTCGGTTCCAATCACACGTGGGTCGGAATCACGAGAGTGCCTTCTCGTGAAAGACCGTGCCTCTTTTGGATCAATGATCTCTCCCAACAACCCGAAATGGCAACATGGTAATTGCAAGATCTTGATCAACAATACAAAAGCAGCGAATTCTGTTCTAGCTGCAACTTCTTCTGCCCAAACACAGAAATGACTTGGACGTGGGGGTTAATCTCCGACGTAGAAACGCCCCGAAACTTTGCTGAATACGATCCTTGAAGTGTGCTGCCCAGAACATCTCGATACGAGTCGAGAGGTCATCCGGGTGTTTTGTCATCAAGGCGGGCGTGCGCGTCACCTATACGTTCCGATAGGAGAACCAACGATTCATCGATGCACTGGAGGAGCTTTGATGCCGTCTTCCTCAACGAATCTATGGGCAAAACCCCCAAGGCAGTTGGTCCTCATTCTCGTGTACTTGGATTAGTGTAAGTACTCTCTAGCGTCAAGGCCGCTGCCGCTGGAAATTTCCCCGTGCCACGCCATCTATCTGCAGCTCAGAGAACCTTACTTAGCAGGATGGAGGCTGAGATTTGATTGTAAGGCGTACCTACGCGGCCTGTTTTTCTTGGTGTAAGCTGGGATGTAGTAAGAAAGCAACACTAGTTTCCCTTGGGGAAGGTGTCTTACAAATTATACCCATCTTTTCGTGTTGTCAAGCAATAACATAACTCTCCGTCTCTTTCAGTAGTGGTCGACAGCTTCCGATCATGTCCAGGACCCAAGCAAGGCCATCTATCTCTTCGCCCGGCGTGCTTGCCAAAAGGAGGAAAACTTGAGAGGCGCTGACAACCTCTCAATCTAGAGTGAGAATGGCCGTCATACCAACGCCTGCACTTTGAACAAGAAAAGGTATGCATCGTTAAGACATCCTACTTTATCGTAATGGGTTGGCCTAGGCTAGTTACATCGCCGATCCCGATCGGGCAATTATCAATATCTTGCGTATATACTATACATGTTAGTACTTTTCTTGCTCACCTCCTCAATTTTGAGTTGGAACCTTTGGAGTGAAGCAGGAGCGGTGTTCATATCTAGCTGACGTGTCCATCTAGATGCACATGGAGAGTGAGCAGCTAAGCGCCTTCCGGATTGTAGCACACAAGGATGAATGATATTGATCGAATTAGGCTAGCTATCGGAACCTTAGGTTACCTTACAGGCAGCGGCGATAACGAGCGAACCCATCTCCGTGTAAAGCGTATCGGGAGAAGAAAAGCTCACATTCTGTCTTATCTCAGTTGCTTGGAGGCGTTACAGTAGCGAGCAGACTCTTGACTTGAACCTGCGGGTGATATTTATCGTTATCATGAAGATTCGGGTACGGATTTGCGTTCCGGGCGAACTCGATGTTCACATTAGGCCCAAAGATCAAGCAGTGCGTCGAACCACCAAAGTGAAAGCATCCGATCGGGTCGCCCTTCTTAAAGGTAGTTCCGGAATTCTCAAAGAAATCAACCGAGGAGACCTCGGCCATGCCGATCATGACAATTGCCATGAGTCCAATGGCCGGGTTGTCCGCCTGGATCAGAGCCACGCCGCGCTTGGCAACTGCAGAGATGTAGCCTTGCGAGAGCTCGTCCGAGGCCTTGTCGGGATCGGACTTGCCCTGGTCGTTGTCAAAGCTCCACATGATGGGTTCCGAGTAGTACGTGCCGTTGATGATTGTGGGAGGCTGGGAGTACTTTCCAGAGACGGGGGCGTGCCAGTTGTGATAGCTGTCTGCGCTTAAGAAAGCCTGATAGACAGTACCGCCGACGAACTGCTCAGCAATCTCTTTACCCCCGAGCATGTCGGCAAGACTGTAGTTGGAGCGATCATCTTGGTTCTTAACCCAGAAGGTATCCTGGAGTTGGACATGCCGCTGTATCTCGAATGGGGTAGATTCAGTTGCGCTGACAATGACATTATCGTCGTCAGGAGAGGCAATGGGACGAAGGTCGGGGAGGAACTGGCGTGTGAAGAACTGGTCCCAGTTTTCAAATCCATACGTGATGGTGTTGGCAGGATCGGGCACCACGTAGGTCTTGAGAAAGTTCTTCAAGCCACCCTTAGCCTGTGCTTCGGTTGACAGCCATCCATCTTTGGCCGTTGTGATTGTTACATTGGATGCCGTACTCCTCAGAAATACACCCCAGTATTCCAGCATTTCTTGGAAGACATTGTTGACGTCGTCTCGAATGAATGCTGCGAAGCCGGCCTTGGTAGCCATTGGCCAGTCGAGAATGCCGTTGATCGGGGTACCGATCTGAGCCGAGTCGTTCCAACTGATCGGGTTCTGGATCTGGTAGTTCAAGGCGGCGATTAGATCGTCCAAGGTTCTGCACTCAGCGTTGGGCGCGCCTCCGGGATAACTTGTGTACTTGGTAGGAACCTCTGTGAGCATCTCAGTGAAGAGCATGCGGACGGTTGGGGTACTGTTCAGGAGATTTTGGAGGGTGGCGATGGGTGGAGCGATGGGCAGGTTCGCGGCTTTCGCTCTCCTGAGCACCTCCCTCACATGTTTTTGGATTCGATGAGGGTTAGACGGTAGCCATCCACCGATACGACGAGCCAAAGATTCAGGAGGCACGCGACCATTCCTTTTGATGTAGACTTCACCCATGGTTGCTGTTGCTTTGATTGGGAAATGAGACTGTATGAGATGATGTGATGAGAGCTATGAAATGTCTTTGATGAGGATAGAATATCGAAACCTTGGGTGGAACGCTGACTGCCTTTGATATATCTTCACAATACCTCTTTTAAACTTGAGCTCCGAAGACTTGTTTGATGGATGGATCTGGATCTAAACGAACATAATGTTCAGCCAGCCACATTCGTCCTAGGGTAATGTCTATCTGTTTTCAGTGAGACGGAAACCGGATAGGGTTCTCGAAAGCTAGTATGTGGAGCGATGAGGTGTTGAATTCTATAGCTTCACGCAATACCAGCTCTCAGCCTCTTATTCTCCATAAGCTGTAAGATTACTCGCTTACAGCACCGCGTATAGAGAAGCGGTACTTTTCACAAGCCCAGAACCCAGGAGTTGTGATGAGAAGTTGATTCTCGTTGAAAAGGAGATGAGGCCTGAGGGAGAATACCTCGTGACGTCTTCACCATACCTGCCAGTACAGAACAGACAACCCTCAATGACGGTCAAAAACACCTCATTCATCTGCTTTCTCTTATTCCACACTGGATGTCAGCCACATGCTCGAGTCTCCCACTGCATACTTACCTTAGGTTCCGATTTGATCGCTCTCAGTCAATTCACACGTTGTGGTGTCAGAATGAACGGAGCTTTGGTTTCTCAGCCGCAACTCACTAGCAAGCCAGCTGAGTTGCCGCAGTCCGCATTCGACCATTTTGGCATCAAGCATCGCGGCGGCCCGACGTAGACTTTGGAAGGTTTGAGACAAGTGTCACATGGAGGACATTCCAGCCCGCCATGAGACGCCGCTGAAATCTAGAATTCGTTCCGTTTTTTGTGTCTCAGCAATCCCACATTTCAACAAGTCGGTATTTAGGTAAGCGCTTCATATTATTGTGATACGCGGCGCTACGCGGGGGTGATATCTGTCCAAACACTCATGACAGACTATCATCACTCCATTTTCCATTCCCTCAATCGTCTTCTTCGTAACCGTTGGATGCCAAGCGCGGGGCTCTTCCCTTCAGCTGCCAAGTCTGCGAGAGAAGTTATGAAGTTGATGGCAACGGCATACAAATTGACACTTAGATATTCAGGCCGTCTACCATACATATTAGCATTGACTAGTGTGATCCCCTGAGTATTCTTCGGGAAAGGAAGCCGTTACGTTAAATTATATCGGCATCTTGTCACTTTTATGGGCATGAAGTGGATAATGGTTCACAGATAGTATCCTGTATATAGGTAGTTTATATATCATACATCTGATACAAAGATCAGGTCTCATGACAAGTCTCAATCGCTCTCAAAACCAGAACACCTTGACCTCCCACACTCGCTCACACTACAGCTGCTGCACCTATTCCGAAAGAGGCATAATTACAACTTTGACGACTTAGGCACCTTAGGTCTCTGAACCGGCGTCGCCAACGGGTCGTACACGGCACCCATAAGGTTATCAGACGGCGTAGAGCCGTGATTGAACAGACTCCGGGTATCGATAAGCGACGGGTTAAGCTGGTCGATGCTCGTGCAACCAATAAGACGCATGTTCATCTCCATCTCGTCGCGGAGCAGCTGCATGGCGCGGTCGACACCGTCGAAGCCGTAGCCGGCCATGGCGTACAAGAAAGGTCTGCCGATACCGACACCCTTGGCACCGAGGCACAGCGCCTTGATGATGTCGGTAGCGCGACGGACACCGCCGTCAATGTAGATCTCGATCGCGTTCTCCAAGCCCATGCGACGCAGCACCGGCATCGTCTCGGCGAGAACCTCAATTCCGGACCGGGCAAAGTCGAGCTGGCGACCACCGTGGTTGGAGAGCACTACACCCTGGACGCCGGCCTCGATAGCCTTGATGACGTCCTCTACGCGCTGCACACCCTTCAGGATGATGGGCATGTTGGTGATGGACTTGAACCAGGGGATATCCTTCCACGACAAGGCGGGGTCGATAAAGGACGAAATAGCGCGGGCGGCACCCTGGCTCTGATCCGTTGCCTGGCCCGACTGCACATTGGCACCCGGATCGGTGAACTTGGACCGCATATCCTTCTCGCGACGACCCAGCTGCGGCGCGTCGACGGTGATGAAGAGGCCCTTGCAGCCGCGGGCCTCGGCGTGCTGCACAATCTTCTTTGTGATCTCTCGGTCCTTGTTGACGTAGAGCTGCATCCACTGCACCTGGTCGCCCTCGGCGGCGTCCATGAGCTCGTCAAAGGAGCACGAGGCCAGCGTCGGGATCATCTGGATGACGTTGTGCTTGCGGGAGGCGCGGGTGAGGAGGACCTCGCCCTCGGGGTGGCCCAGCTTGCCGAGGGCGGTGGCGGTGACGTAGAAGGGCATGTCGACCTTTGCGCCGAGCATGGTGGTGGTGAAGTCTACCTTTTCGACGTCGACGAGGATCTGCGGCCGGAACCAGATTCTGTGGAAGGCACCGTGGTTTTCGCGCAATGTCTACAGGAAAGATCAGTTAGAAATTGTTCCTGATCCTCTGATGTGTGCGAGTTTGCGGGGTCGACCTACGATTTCGTCGTCGGCTGCACTCGAGTAGTATCCCCAAGCCGTCTTCTTCATGACTCTGCGCGCTACGGCCTCGAAATCCATCAGGTTGTAACATTGGGACAACAGTGGCTTTTGCTCAACCCTCTCCAAGCGCTCAACCTCTTCGGGGTCCTCCTCCTTCTCCTCAGCCACTACAGAGGTCATGTCGACGGGGCCAAGGTGCTTGGACTGCTCGAGGTACTTGTCGAGGGTGTCGGGCGGGTGGATAGGGTCGAACTCTTCCGTCGCATCTTTGCCGGCGTACTTGAGAATGATTTTTGAGCCACCGGGGTGCTCTGAGAGTCGTTGTTAGCAGGGAAAGCACTTGATGGGACTGTAGAAGAAGAACTTACCGGGCAAAAAGTCCGTCACATCGTAGGCTTTGCCCTGTTAGGTGGCCAGTGTTAATTGCCTACCAATTGACAATTAAGTCAATATCTGATCATCACTTACGTGAACAATGACCCAGCAAGAGTCGGCACTGTTGTGCTTCGCGATATCGTCACCCTTCAAACCCATTGTGCCTGCTGTTCGGTGCAATTGATGTCGTTGTTCCGGACGAAAGGAAGAAAAGTATCTTGGAAGTTTATCGACAGGTTGGAAAATCCGGGGTAAAGGCCAACAAATAGGTAGATCTTTCTCCACGGGGTAGCGTCTGATTTATGGGTGGCTTGCTTGCTGGTCTAGTCGAATCCAAGGTATTTCAAATCAGAGGGACCAGGAATAGCACGTTTTACAAACACCAATGACGGGCAGAAGTAGTAATGGAAGAGATGCCGACGCAGATCTAAGGGCCGGAACCAAGAGCAGAAAAAGATGTAGGTGTCGTCTCGCTAGTCAGTCCGAGAATCGGGACTCCAAAAAAGTTCTTCTAGAGAAATGTTGGGGGAAGCAAGCACCCATCTTCTCTTGAAGGGGGGAAATTCGACTTGGAGAAAAGAGACGGTTGCCGGGGGGCGAAACCCATCAAAGGTCATCAGCTCGCTCTTCATTGTACCGTCGCAGACTGCCGCGCCCCACACTGGCTCCAGTGCAGCGCTAGCGGCCCATCTCGGGTCAATGGGGTGCGGGGTAATTTGTCGGTGACGTCCTCCACACTTGCACTTCCTCGGTGTAAACTGCTACCGGTCTCCATCCCGGGCTATCCCCGAAAGGCAATCCGTGCCCACCCACGCACCGTCGCACACCCACGCGTTCGTCGTGGGCAGCATGCCAGCCAGCGACAGCAACGCCAACCGCAACCTTTCGGCTTGGAACCCGCTGCTGATACGGATACTCGCGGCTACGCTTCCGAAGGAGGGTGCGGGATGGCCCTTCTTTATCTCAACTACACACGTGTGTTTACGCCACTCGAGCCGTCAACGTCAACTTAGTCTCAATCTTATCGTTCCTTTCGACCGGTACCGTGAAGTTTATCCCCTTGAGTGTTCATCGTTGCCGTTTCACGTGTATTGGAAGTCACGCAAATCGTAAGCAGATACCTGCTTACTCATTCTCGACATTAAGCGCCTCAACTTCAATTCCTGTTTATGAGAGACGAGGTAGTTACTGTGTTAATAGGGAACCTCATGGGGAAAGTTGAGTGGGCTTTGTTTGATTGTATGCACCAGTAGGTACAGCTCCTAGGTTGTAAGAAACTGACCTGGCGTCTTCGCCGGCATATTCTTAGACAATGGTGCTTTGGTTGACTACAGTCACGAAGGCTTATATACTTGATCCCCAGAAAACCACACGTGTACTTTCACTTTCATGAGAGACTACTTTACACTGACTCTTGGCTATCCCTAACTATGGAACTTCACTGGCGCGCATTTTACGACGTAGACCTTGCCTTAGTACGATTACTTGCCTACCTACCACCAACAGTTCTTGACTCAATCCACATCCACAAAGCAAACCTGGCCCCAAACCTTTCCGTTCTACACTACGTCGTTTGGGACATAGCGGATTGTCTCTCGGAACTTTGATCTGCTAATTGGTCCCTTAAGGCAGAACCTTGAGCCCGTGGATTGCCGTTCCCGGCTTACCTCCCACTGCCCAGCCCCTCATAAGGACAATCGCAATAAGTATCAGTAGCACCCCCAAGAGCAAGTTCCTGATCAGCGACGCTTGCTTTCTCCGCTTCTCAACCACTTGAGCATCAATCTTGTACCATTCCCAACTCTTGATCTTATGGTACTCGTCCCTCAAGATGGGCCTCGCGGGATCCGGCATGATGTCAGCCAGGTCGAGTTGTATCTTGAGGAACAACTTGACAAGCTTGGACACCAAAGGGTTAGGGTGCCCGGTGCGCTGTTGTTCTCGGACCTTGGGTGGTACGATGGTGAGGAACAGCTGTCGGCCGAACCATTGGAGATACCTGCCCGTTTGTGAGATATGCCATTGACAGATGTCGGGGATGTTGAGTGAAACGTACCTTGGAAACCACAGTTCGGCAAACTGATCAACAACGCCCTTAGATATCACAGCCCCCTTGACCCTTTCTTCCTCACTGGTATACCTATCAAACGGCAGCTCACGATACCACTTGTGAAAAGCCTCGAGTTCCTTCCAGTCCCTTGGGAAATTCACCCCAAAGCTCCTCGACCCATCCTCGGGTTCCGATCGAAAGTGCGCACACACTCTCTCAGCCCACGCCGGCCACGCCGCCGCCAGCTTGGGGTGTATGTCCCTGACCCTCGCCCCGACGAGGTCCCTCAGGTACGTCTCAAAGTACGCCGACCCGATGAGCGACATCTGGCCCTCCCATGGGTGACTAAATGTCCCCGGCGCGTTCTTCCACACCCCAGCGTGGATCCTGTTGACCCTCTCGATGCCCTCGACGGCCTGCGGAGAGGCGCTACCGTACCACATCCAGTCGAGGAGCCGGTCCTGCGTCTCGTAGAAGCGTTGGTGGCCGCGGCGGAAGAGCTTTCCGGTGCTGTGGACCGCTGAGGCGCCTGCCGGCGTCTGGGTTAAGAGGATGAGGGTCGAGGTGTAGCCCATGGCGATGGCGAAGCTGGAGCCGGTGAAGAAGGTTGAGGTCTGGATGATGCGGTCGTACTCGGTTTCTGGGTCGAGCTATGGCACGTCAATGAAATAGTACCAGCATGTTCGGATCTTGTTGTCGCTTTTGTTGCTACCAACCTGGTCGAGATACGCCGATATCCACTTCCCTTTCCTATCTGCCTCCGGTGGCCATTCTGGGACCGGCCTCTTGGGTTCTGCCGGTGGTCTTGGTTGTCGTGGATGAGCTTCAAATTGACTTATGCTATCGGTTCCAGGAGGAAGATTATTGGTGAGGTCAAGCTTGTAGAAGCTCCTCGCGCGGTTTCTCAAAACGGATTTCTCGTCCATGACAACTGGCTAGGACGATCGAAGCTGGTGTGCGGTAATCTTCAGTTACAAGTCTGTTTCTTTCTCAGAAAGGTTCTTGCCGCGAAGTTATCAACTTTGGTCTCAAATGTGCATCCAATACACAAGTATTTGTATTCATGTCAAATGTTTTCTACGTATGTGAATTCCGAGAAACCAGTTCATTCCGAGATCCTGGCCTCCCGTGATACAGGCGAAAGTTTCTCCAGGGGAAGACAGGAGGCATCTTTGTCCTAATTTTTGTTTGAGAAGTTCATGTTACAACAGAAACTCGATGGCCAGTTTGCGGGCAACGCACGATGTTGGCTTGGTCGAGGCGACTTGACATGGGATGAAAAGCGAGCCAAGACCACGGGATGACCCTGCGGCAAGTACTTCGGCAGCCTGACAGCGGCAAAGAACAGTCCCCAAGAGCCCGTACGCCGCTTAGTGTGCGGTCGCCTGAAGATCGCTTCCTAGTCTGCCCAAACTGCTTACCTTTCTGTAAGGTAGAGTGCGGAACCTTTAAAACTCCGGCAGAACCAGACTCTCGGTGTTGACCAACCATGCAGTGCCATAATGAGATATGTACGAACAACAGTTCATAGGATACACCGACCTAGTTGCAAATACAAACGTTTTTTTAGCCAATCGATGAGTCAATTGTTTGGCTCGGAAGCAACTTGCATCCGGGCATTGCGGACATCGTGACTGGTTATATATATACGACATATACTCTTCCCGTTTATTTTAGATTGCATCATGGCATGTCTTAATCAAGGCGTTTTTGTCACATATCGGAATACTTTGTAATGAAGTCTGTAGTTGCGATAACGAGTAGATGTTGATCTAATCCCAGGAGAATCGTTCAAGGAAGTGTGGCAAAGACGGCCGACCTTACCGACTAATGAATTATAAAATACAATCCATGTCTAGTGACATCCATAACCATAAATCTTGTCATAAAAAAAGGCCAACTATTAAAACACACCATCTGGCTTCGTCCACATTTTTCACCAAAAGGATTCGTACATGTCAGGCTATCAGCCCATGGGCCTAGGGTACTCTGCAGGGCCATCCCACAGTACGTTTGCAACTTGATTCTGTCCACAGCGGCAAAGCGGTCAGATCTCAGATGCAGCCAAGCGAGAGTTGAAGACAGAGAAATTACATCCAAAGCCTCATTCGCTGGGAGTTGGGGGGGGGGGGGGAGCATGACACCTAGCCCGAACTCGAAAGGATGCGGGGGTCTGTTGGACACCTCGACTTGAGGCCCAATCAGTATAATCTGTTCGTCCAGCTGCAGATGCAGGTCTCAACTATTGGGCCCCTAAGCGCCTCAGTCAAACTTTTGATAGGGTGTTGGAGAGGACCTGGCCGGTCAGGCCTAGGTATTCCATCAGCAACAGACTCGGTAGAGGCAGCCCAGGTTACATGGAAATTCAGAAACGGACAGCTGCAGGAACTTCGACTCCAGGGGACAACAGAGTAAAGGGGCTAGAATCTGAGCATGCATTCTTTTCGCCCTGACATCTTGCTGTCAACACCTCCTCTTTCTGAACTGTTTCTTTTCAAACTTGTGACTTACAACGAGGCTTCCTTCACTGCGATATGACCGACTCCCGCCAATCCGACGGCGGTTGCCTCTCCGCCTTATGCTCTTGCTTCAGGAGACGAGAAAAGCCGCGCCATGACGTTTCCGAGTCTCCTGCGACTGGCGTTGACGTCCTAACAGCATTAAAACCGGCTGACGATGGAAAGCCTGAGCCTACAGACCCCGAGGTCGTACGTCATGATTCAGTACTAAGCGTCTCACGTGCGACATCATTTACTGGTATTGCTGATGACCCTTCACTCCTTCCTGCTTCCAATGTTCCAGGACCATCTGCATTGAACGGTTCTACTCCAACCGTTGATTTATGGCAGGAAGCATGCAAGAAGGTGGACGTGAAAACTCAGATATGGATCGCCAGTCTTCCTCCACCAGTCAATGCCCAAGATCCTGCAAGTGAGCTGGCGGAGTTCGTTCGCTCTAGCGAAGAGAAACACAAGCAAGAGGCGTTGAAGCTCAAATCCGGCGACCGGGAGATTTTGTGGAGGGATTATGCGAATAAAGTTATCCCTGTGGTGACTGCGATTGGAAATGTTGCCATCAACTTTGCCCCTGCGCCCTCTAACGTCGTGTGGTCAGCTATCAAGGTGCTTCTGACGGTATGTATTGCAGCAAAGCATGAACGTACTGTTGTCAACATGATGATCTAATGATCTTGCAGGCCCACGTATCTGAGCGTGAGGATCTTGTGGCTATTATGGGATGCACCGACATAGTCCTCTGCCTCGTGAGGCGTGGTAGAGTGTACGAGAAGGTCTACATTGGGAACTCCATGTCGCCTAGGCCGCCTTATCAGGAAGATTTGATGACGAAGTTGGTTGAAGTATACACGAAATGCTTGGAGTTTCTTGCTTTTGTCTACGAAGAAATGGCGCATGGTAATTTGCGCCGATTCTTCGACGCGCTCGTTGACCCCGGTTATGGCGAAAATCGGCTATCAGCAGTGAGAGCACTTGAGCAGGAACTTGAGCTTGCAACTCGTCCTTGTAAGGCTACAGCAGATGATGAGCATCGAAGACTGCTTGAAAGTCTTGAAGAGCCGATCAAGCGTACCGACAAGAATGTCATAAATATTCTAAAAGTGCTTGATAAGCAAGAAAGAGACAGGGCTATGGAATACGTCAGTGTAATTCCAGTCGGATCTCATCATAACGAGAAGGTCGAAAAAAGAACCAAGGGCACATTCAAATGGTTGGTCAGCCATTCTAAGTTCCTTGCATGGGAAAACTCTTATTGTACTCCGGTGTTCTGGTTGCGGGGTGATAGTAAGTATTAAGGCCCGAAGGCTGTTGTGTGTAAGATCAAACTGACCACGGTTCTGTTCTGCAGTCGGTACGGGAAAATCGTTCCTATCTTCGAGAGTAATTGATCGTTATCGAATTCACGACGGAATTCAATTTCCCACCGGGCACAGCCTGGGTCTCGCTTTCTTCTACTGCAACAGCTCTGATCAGAATCGGCAAAGCATCCAATCCATTCTCCGAAGCTACATTCGACAACTGGGCGAGGTGACCGGTCATCCTGAGAGCATTCATGAGACATTGTTCAATCTATACAAGAGGAAAGAAATTAAAAGCGATATCACGCTCCAAGATTGCGAGACAGCGTTGGTCGAGATGATCAACAGTTACTCTCGAACAGTTCTGATACTCGACGCCTTGGATGAGTGCAAGAAAGACACGAGACGCCACATTGTTGAGTTCTTCAAACGTCTAGTGGAGAAAACCAATAGGTGTCTGAAGATATTCATCGCCAGCCGTCCAGAGAACGATATTGGTGACTATTTGAGGTCATTCCAAGAGCCAAGGGCGACGATCACAATCAACACTTCTGATAATCAGGACGATATCGAGAAGTTTGTCAATACAGAGGTGGACAACTTCAGTGTGGATTGGAGCCCTGAAACTAAGCAGGCTGTTAAAAAGGAGCTTATGGAGAAGAGCGCGGGAATGTGAGTTCTAGCTCACAATCTATCCTTACCTACTCAAGCTGACTGATACAAACTAGGTTCAGATGGACTTACTTGCAATGGGAACAGCTCAAGGAGTTTGACACCAATAGCAGTGTCCAAGACAGGCTTGGTGACCTTCCCGAGACTCTGACGAAAGCCTACGACGAGATTTACGATAAATACAAACCCAAGAGCTTTGAGCTTTTCATGCTGCAGCGAGCAGTGAGATGGGTCATGTGCGCCCGCCGGCCGTTCGACAGTTGCACATTGCTGTCAGCCATTCGAGTGGAAAGCGAACAGATGCATGGAGACAATGTGAAGGCTCTCGACAAGTCAGATCTCACTGAGAAATTGTTGGAGACTGTCTGTCGACATTTGATCGTGAGAGACCCAGAGCTCAAGGTCTGGAGGTTTCCCCATGCATCGGTCAGAGAGTACTTTGAAGATAAGAAGGGAGAGCCGTGGGTCAAACACGCGCCAGCGGAGGTAGCAATTGTCTTGATCAACTGCTTAAGGGATTGCTGCGCAGCTTACTCCTCTTTATGGCCACCCTCAGATGTGGAGTCCTACTCAGGAACGCTCCAGGAAAGATCAACCAGGGATCTACACGAATGGATAGAAGCAGGAGGGGCGGACCTTGACCAGCCTTTAGATCCTCGGCATCCACTTCAGGCGTACATTCGACTGAACTGGCTCACACACATCCACGATCTTCCAGAACAAGATGACAGAGCTGAAGACGTAGCCTTTGCTTTGAAACGATTCCTGGGCGAAGAGCGTCCTCCGCATTCTTCGAAGGAGTATCAGATATTTTGCAGCCGCGTCATGGAAGGTTATCGGTTCAATTACTATACACCCACGTCGTCACATGTCAGGCCAAATACCAACTTCGCCTTTGGCGTTGTGGCAATGGGTCTTCATCGGCTCCTGCCTGAGTGGTGGAACGAAGGCCTCGACCTTCCCTCGTTGGTAAATGAGGACGGCCTGAGCCTGCTGCAAATTGCCACCTATCATGGCCACTATGACCTCTGTCAACTTCTAATCAGTCGGGGATGCGACATCAACGGGTTTGTTGAGGACGGATACGATGGCTCCCCACTGTGGATATCAGTAGACCAGCGAAAGATTGAGGTCATGGAACTACTTCTCAATAATGGTGCAAACATGAATTGCGTCGTCGGAAAACAGTCTATTGCTTGCCTAGCAGTGGATCAGGGGTCTGAATACTGCACTATTCTGCTGAAGGCAGGTATGGATCCCAACATGAAGTGTAGTACAAATATCACCAATCCCTACCGCAGGTGCAGATTCGGCTCTGCCCTGTCGAGGGCTGTTTGGAAGAACGATCTCGACACCATAAAAGTCTTGATTGGCGAGGGAGCAGAAGTCAACCTGGAGAACCTCAAAGACGATCTTGGAAGCCCTCTCGCTTCTGCCGTAAAGGAAGGTTATTTAGAAAGTGCTCGCTTTCTTCTAGAGAATGGTGCAAATGTCAACGAACAGTTCAGATACGGAGAATATGGCTGTCCTTTGATTGCTGCTGTATGCGGTCGAGAGCCCGAATGTGTTCGCCTTCTCCTAGAGCACGAAGCCGATGTCAACGCCACGCCGGAAATTGGTGAATATGGCAGTCCCCTGGCAGCTGCTGTATCGATGGGAGACTTGGATTGTGCTCGCATTTTGATTGAACACGGCGCTGACGCCAAAGCACTTTTGAGGGTTGGAAAATATGGCAGTCCATTGGTAGCTGCTGTATCGAGCGGAGACGTGGGTTGTGCTCGGTTACTGATTGAACACGGCGCTGAAGTGAATGCATATCTGGAGTTCGGAGAATATGGCAGTATTCTGGCTGCTGCAATTCTCGAGTGTTCCCGGGCTGAGCCGTCTCTTGTTATGATCAAGTTTCTTGTTGAAGAGGCAGAGGCGGGCTTAGCTCAGCTAGCCTTTGTACGGCCCAGGAGAAAGGAACCGAACATCAGGATAAAGAGGGGAGAGCGACGCGAAAGCATCTACGGAGCAATGAAGCAGATAATCAGATATGAGCGACGGCGACGGGAGATGGACATGGCAGCGTATCTAGTACAGGAGCTCCAGATGGAGCGGCAAGTGTTGATCAGCCTCGGTGTTCTCCCAATGGATTTGCCACCCGATATAGTTACTACGGCCGACACGGAGTATGAGGAGTTGGATGAGTATGATTTCGATGCTCGGCGGGATTATTATTCAGGGCGCTTTAGGTGGAGAATGCTGGACGTGCTCCGTCGCACGCAAGGCAGTTTCGAGTTGATTTGTGGGCGGAATATTGAATATCACTGGGATTCAGGCGTCGCCTTGACCAAGCCTTCGGCCTAAAGCATTTCCGCGGTGGAAGTCTAGCTGGGGGAGACTAAGTTAGGATAGCTAGTAAAGTACAACAGATGAGGTAAATTTCGTCGTTTGTTGTGGGCACAAACTTGGTCAGAAACTTAACGAAAGCTTGCTATGATCTACGTTAACAAGACTGCAGTTTTGAATCAAAGTCTGTTGGAGAAAAAGTCCCTTGCTGGCTTAATCCATCAGATGGCCGGAAGCTGAAGCCAAACCTCCTCCTCAGTACCGTTTAGCTTTACGCAGGTCCCCGTTCCAGTCATGTCTGGATTGAATCTCTATCAATAGGCTCAACTCTGTACCCTTCAATGGGACTTTCAAAGTCTTTGCCTGTTGATAGAAAGACAGACGTGATAGATCTGCGTTATCAGGTACTACTAGGTATGACAAGATACGTGAGGGCAAAGAATATGATAAGAAGCATTTGAGGCAGCAAGAGCTGCAGCAGAGACCATAGCCGTAGCAATCGTATCACGCATTTTTATATGGATGATACCAGTTTGTAAAACCCTTTTTTCATCAAATGGCATATCGTGAACTGCGCCGCCTACACTCATGGTCAGACTGGAAAAGGCTCGCAATATTCCACTCGGGAATCATTCACGGTTCCTCAGACATCATGAGACTTTCCTTGAGTGGCCACTGAACCGGCTGTGCCTTTCTTCTAAAACTTACATGCGGTCTGACCTGGTGGTAGTCATAATGGAATTCTGATCGAGTTTCGCTGACCGTTGATACTAAGATCCAGTTCCGGGGTCCTTTGTAGTCTAGCGCCAAGACTTCGTTGAAGAACATCGACCAACGGCGAGCGACCAACAACCAACGAACAACCACCGAACAACCCTTTACACTATGAAATCCAATTGGACCGCACATAAGGATGTGGATTATATCAACCAAATCTCGAACCCATCGGCCCTTTTGAGGGTCTCGAGAGCCATGCATCCAGATCTGGAAACCATTTCCTGGAGCGACCCGACTCTCTTCACGGTTTTGGCAACATGCTCGCTTTCCCCGGGATCTTTGACTACCAAATCACGTCCAAGTCATGAGTTAGTGGATAGACATTTTTAAACAGAAAGAGGTGGAACTTGGTCGATTTTTAGGCAAGGATGGATACCATCTACAAGTCATCTTATGTATACAAGCCCTCCTCTCAAGTGTATGTTCTTGTCTTCGCCCATGTAAATGCAAAATGGGCCGAGGAAGTATTGCAGATTCAAGTCGGAATACCGTACCCGTGAAGTGATTTTGACTTCATCTCTTGATGGTGAATGGATGATCATGCCCTTGCACTGTTCGTGGAATTATACGGACTATGCTTGCAATCACTTCAAGGTTTATCCCCCAGGAAATAAGCTTGTTTGGGCAGGTGAACACCTTATTCAGGTGGGGTCGCGTGAGGCAACGGTTCAATATCCTATAAGTGGCTAGATCGATGCAGCCTGATTCCCATATGTCAAAGCCTCAAGAGGAATTACCAGGTGCATAAGTAGCAGCGACTGCACCGATATCCAACAAACCAAGCAGACATTTGTACATTCATTCCATCACTTCATCTTTTTAATAATCTTCCATTACTCAACGCATTGACAACTACCCTCTTACACACCAAGTTCCTCGTAAAAAAAAGCCCACAAGTATTCCTCACATGGCTCAGCTCAACATGTTTTCTCGACTTTCAAAGACCGACAGCAACAAACCTCTAATCGACAACGACTCCGCAAGCGAGTCCCAGACCAGCTCCAGCCCAAAGAAGTCTCTATACCGCAAATTCCAAGACTCCAAGAGAGGAGAAATCTCAGACGCCGACGTCCTAAAGTACACCGGCATGAGCAAAGATACTCTAAACGGGTGGGCGGCCGATCGTCCCGGCGTAGGCGGAAACAGGGCAGCGGGAAGCATCACAACCGGTAGCCCGTCGGGCCTGGGTGGTATGATGGCTGAGACCGGTTATGGCGGCTGGGGTACGGATTCGAACAGCACCCCAAAGCTTCCACCTACGACAAAGTCCGAGAATCAAGAGTCCAACGATGCGGTGGCTGGGGTTGTGGCTAAGAACTGAACACATAGCCGGTGTCATTGGATAGATATGAAGGCTCGCAGTAGGAAAGGGCCACCAAACTCCAACTTCACAGTCTCCTACCGCCTCTCAACTAATCCACCACGACGCCATATGTACTTAAGGCGCTGCTCATATCCTCTCCTCACACTCTCACCTCCTATAGACCATGGTAAAAACCTCTGCTAGACGTATAGAAGAGGTGCTGATTCATCGCTCTATCTATCCACCCATCACGAGCCACCTTACCTCACTTGTAGGTAGGCAGGTACCTTACGAACCGCCCCTTCCCTCTGAACACACAACAATCCCATATTTACCCCCTCACTTCCATTCCAGTCACCAGCCAGCAGGCGCCCCCTTGGGGGTCAGGTCAAACCTGGCTGGTTGGTGGAGTGGTTGAAGTCCACGAACAGCCTAATCGGTGAAGGCTCAGAGGTCCCGTGTTCGAGTCCCAGCATGAGCACCAGAGATGTAGCCCCCATTCGCCACCGGGGGGGTGAACTCTTTCGTTTTTGGCATTTCTACTGATTGATGCTAATCGAGAGTTTAACCCAAAGCGTGGGCTGGGCGCATACCATTCCAGGAGCTTGAGGCGATGGGAACATACCTCAGACTATCTGCATAGTCCGTCACATCAATAAATGGGATATTTCTTTATGCAATTGCGATTGGTGGTTTGGTCTATGTATAAGCCGCTCACAACTCTCATTCGGCTTTCCCCCTCTCAAGATGTCTTGCCAGTGTGCTGTGCCTACTGGCAAGCCTCATCGCGCCCCAGGCCTATTCAAACCATTGATTTTGTGGTACCATCCTGCCTGCAACCAACACTCGCTCGCCTTAGATGTTAAGCAGCTACCTAACTCTAAGTTGCGTGCTTCGCGCAAAAGCTACCACCACTTGAAGTGTTATCTACGTCCTCAACTTTCGACTCGTCATTTTCATCCACTCTTATTTCCAGTTGTTCAATCCCGCCCAAGGGTCACTGTTCTGCTGAGGCTGAGCTGACCGTGGGTGCGCACTAGAAGGGTAGGCACTTTGTGGGTTTTGCTGCGGATAGTTTTGTTGTTGCTGCTGCTGCTGTTGGTAATCCTGCTGGCCGTAGAAAGTCTGCTGAGGGCCCAATGGTGGAGGACCAGGAGGCGGAGGCGGCGGAACGAACCCGGCAGGCATTTGTTGCTGTTGTTGCTGTGGGTTAGGGAAACTGCCGTACTGCTGGTTCTGATTGAATGAGGTCTGCGTTGGCGGCGGCGAAGCCGGGCCTCGCAAGACAGTTGGGCCGAAAGTGGACTGGTGGGGAGGCGGTGATGTTGGGCCGGGAGTGCGGCCGTACTGACTCGGATTGTATGCTGGCTGGCCGTATGTATTTGCCGGCTGAGGCGTGTAAGATTGCGAGGTAGGAGGGGCGGCGAAGCTCGGATATTGCTGCTGGTTCGGAGGCGGAGACTGAGGGACTTGGTACTGACCAGAAAAGTTGGTCTGGGGGTATCGCGGGGTCGAGTTGTTGGCGAAGTTCAAAGGCGACGGCGTTGGCCGATTCGAGGCAGGCTTGGGTGACGGCGCAGGAGGCTCCATGGACATACGCTCCATCAAACCCCTCAGACGCTCGCGCTCCAGCTCAGCATGTGCGTCTTTACGAGTCGACCGCTCCTGCTCAATGCTGTTGAGAAGTTGAGCCCCCTCAGACCGCCTGTTGTTGACGAACGTATCGACGTTTTTCTCGAGGCTTTGTACGGTCTCCTTCATCTCGGCATACCAAGTCTTGGCACCTTGAAGACCAGCCTCCAGGTCGAGGAACTCCTGATACGCCCGCTTGTACTTGTTCATGACCGATGTCCTTTGGCGTTGCACTGTCTCGTACTTGCTCTGCTCCGAACGGACCCGCTTGTCCTGCAGCAGCGTGTTGAAGCTGGTCGTCAAGTCCTTCATCAAGGCGGACTGCTTGTGATTTGCCTGTAGCAATCTGTTCTGGTATGGCCGGAACTTTTCCAACTCTGACTGGAAGAGTTGGTTCTCGTAATTGGTTATTGACTTTTTGTTTAAAATCAGAATTTCCGAGATGTCGTCGTTGTGAACCTACGAATATTAGTGCATTGTTCGGCTTTCTGCAAGGACTTTAAGGGACAAACCTTTTCTTTGAGGTCTTTCAACACTTGATTGCGTTCTCTCTTGATCAGGTTCAGCTTCTTCATGATCTCTTCCACTTTGTGGATTTGGTCAACGACACTCGGGCCCCCTTCGTCAAAGTCGACATCCAAAAGGTTTGGCTCGTTACCCAAAGGACTCGTAACATTGCTCGATTTTCCGCGCACCTTGCTGACGGCATGTTGAAACAGGGACTCGATACTTCCGTGGGAGGCTGCCGCCCTCATCTCCTCGAATTCGACTTCGTTTTGCCGTAATTTTGCCGCCAGTTGATTGTCGCTTCTCGCTGCCTCTTCCAACGCTTCTCGGTAGTTTCTGATGTCGCTTCGCAGAGTTGATGTTAATCTCGAACTCGGTTGCTGAGTCCATTCGTTCTCGTATTTGGATCGCATCTTCTCGCACACACTTTCTTCCATATCCAGTTGTTTCGTGTTCTTATCCAGTGTGTTCACAATGATATCCTTGTCGGATCTCAAGATATCGAAAATGGCGGCGGGATCTTCATGCCCCGCAACATCCTCACACCAAGTCCTGAACTCTTCATCTGGCATGATTTCTTGATCGAAACCACCTTTGAGAACCTGCAGAGCGCCGGGGAGTCTCAAGTAGTCTAGACTTGCTGCCATTTCGCTGTTCGCCGTGTCCACTCGTTCCGTCTCAGCTCTGATCAACTTGGCCTTCTCCTCATCGTAAAGACTGGCCGATTCCGTCACAGCCAGGGGCACAATCTTGGAGAAAAGGTCGGGTCCAGTAATGCGCTGGATATCTTGGCCGGCATAGAGCTCGCTGACAGGGATTGGTTTCGACGCAGGAAGCTTCGGGACGGGTGGAAGGCTGGCCTCCGCGGGTACGGTTTGATGGTAGATGAAATCGTTATCCTTGCTGAACTCTTTGAGTTTGTCTTGGACAGTCGACAGATGCCGTTTACTAAACTCGACCAAAAGCCCACCAGTCTCGGCGCCGAGGTTCGAGCTCGGGGGTACTGAGTTTGGGAAATTGGCGGCGATGCGGCTTGCCTCCTTGCCCTGGGTTTCTGCAGCTTGGAGTCGAGCGACAGCAGTTCCATGCTGACCAGCTTCGTCATCGGCGAGGGCCTGGTAGTATTGCGACATGGAGCTCAGGAGGTTGAATTTGACCTAGGTCTGTCAGCAAAGCCACAGCATATGGCTGCGAACCACCCCTGATAGAAGTGATGGAAGGCATTGTGCCAGCAATCCTTACCTGAACCATGAGAAGCCAGACTTTTTCGAAGATGGCTCTGTTGAAATTGTCCTGGACACCCTCAACGGCTTGCCCGTACAGGTACGCTGCCTGGCTGGAGAGCTTGGCTAGCAAGGCCACCTTCTTTTGATCCGCCACTTGCTTTTCTAGGAAAACCTCTTGAGCCTGTGCCAACATGATTGAAATGAGAGTTTTGACGGTTTCGCGGCTAAGGTCGGACGAAGGTGCGTGGAGAAAGTTCTCGTTGATGTAAGTGAACATGCCGGCGGAGGCTTGAAAGGAGTGGTACGCGGCCTTGAGGCCTGACTCCTCGGATCTTGTTTGGTGGGCGGCGTGACACGATAGGACGGCGGAGATGTTGAATATTATGGAAGCCTTTTCGAAGGCGAGCGAATATTGGGCCGTCGATTTATGTGTAAAGGCGTCGAACCTGAAAAGCACCAGGGGTCAGTATGGTCTAACGGCGCGTTGGGCCGCGAGACGCAGCAGGGGCAGCGGAAGAGATACCAGGTGAAGGAGATCTTGATGTGTTGCTCATCGACAGGAAAGCGCAAGTCGAGAAGCTCGAGCTGGCCATAGTATCTGTAGAGCATATCGCGACCCGAGGTGCTGTCCTTGCCGGCGCCCCTCACGTCCTGTCGCAGACGATTGAGGGTGGCGCACTCCTCGGCATAGCGTTCAGGATCATCGCCGTATGTATCCCTGATGTAGTCCTTCAGCGGGGTGACCCAGTCGATTTCGTTTGTGGCCTTGAGAGGCGAGGAGATCATGGGCGACTGCGTCATTTTGAAAGAGGGCGACGAGGCCAGCTCCGGAGACGAGGTTTCGGCCCGGGGGAATCGCGGGGGTGTCGCGGGGGGGACAGTGAATCGCAGTCGGAGGGATGGTTTGCTATGATGGGCAGCCTCGTTCAAATGTCTTGATGATTGGGTGGCATACGGGGCCTCGTCAGAGGTGGCCTTGGGAAGAAAAAGCGACGGGCTGGAGGTGGACGGATGCAGCTCTCCGGTCAGGTCGCTGGGCAGGTTGCTGGTTGCTGGTTGCTGTCTGTCTTGCCGTGGCGGGCGGAGTGCGGGGTGGGGGCGGGCAGCGACGATGGAAGGAGCCCAGAATGGTAGCAGCTCAGTCGGGGGTAGTCGAGAGTCAGTGCACCCAAGCTCAATCGTGAGTACGTACTTCCGATCCTCTGTCAACCTAGGTAATAAGTAGTAAGTCAGGCCAGGTCAGGTACCCGACGAGAGTAGGTAGTGTATGTACCTTACGTGTGCTCGGTTGCTGGTGGGCAGAGAGGAGACCCGGTTTGTGGTGCCGCTGGCTGCTGCTTGATGGAGAAGGATGCCCGCCGTGATCGGGTAGTTGCTCTCGGCGGCGCTGATGGCGCTGGCTGTGGCCTGGTGGGTTGCTGTTCTGCGGCCGGCCTTAAGTTTTGGTGCCTGTTCAGGATGAGGTGCAGATTGACTGAAGAGTGGTGGTGTGGTAGTACGGCAGTTTGCGACAAATTGTCTTGCAAAGGTGACAACAATATCGATTTCCTCTTTCTTTCTCTCTCTCTGGCTATTGCTTGTAAATGTCAAGGAATGTACCAGACTCGTGTTCCTGTGAGGTCATAATGCTGGGGGACCTGGCGAGATGAGGGACTGTCGGTAATTTAGACAGAGGGCCTAAAGAGGAGCTTCTTGGGAAGGGCGGGGCAGCTTTCGTCTTGCCCAAGATGGCTCGGCGTCGTCAGGCGTCTCGTTTTCGTCTTCAAACACTCAAACACACCAGGTTGCGCCTCTGGCGGTGGCGGTTCCGGACTGTTGGTGATATATGCTTGGTTGACGAAGCGCCCAGGCCTCGGAGATTGGAGACAAGTAAAAGTCTGCGCCGTCTTTATTCGTCGCCGTGGTCTTGTTGCACTGCTCGGCTTAGCCTCGTGTGAGTGGTGTTGACGTTGGCGCATAACGTGTACCTCACGAATACTGGGTGAAGATGCGTTGGGCTGTCTTACGTAGCCGCCAGGCAGTGAGAATTGTCCACCACGAGCCGGGGATATTCCTGGCTTTTTGGCGGGGGCCTAGACGAGGGTACGAACCTGTCTGTCGCACTTGACTCAAAAGTGAACTGTGAAGATTCTAAGTAGGTAGGTACGGAGCAGACTCTCTATGATCCGTCAGTCCACCAGACATTTCAGCCGTAGCCAGGCGCTCTCAACCGACTCTCAATCGGGCATCTATCTACATCTAGCTAAACGCGCCTATCCCGACTCTCTGGTGCTAATATCACAAAGTACCGCCAACCACGATGAGACCACTTGGGATCCTGGGTATGTAACTTTTTCTTCGGGCTCTAATCGGCTCACCGTACATGAGGTTACCTCGCCTATCGCGTCGACATGCCCAGATGGCCTATCCTTCATCTCTGGCGGAATCACAGTGAGACGTTGCCCAATGCAACTCTCCTCCGTTTCTCGCATGCGCCCTCACTCCACCCTCGATAGTCTGCTCCGAACGTCTCGACCCAGCTTAGCTCTCGCCTGGCCGTCTCGTGATATTCATGTGGTTCCGTTCAGTTCCACCATGGCCAGACCGCACCTTCTGCTCATCACGGTACCATCGCTGCTTACATGTACGTGCCGACTCTTCTGCATGTCAGCAATTCTCTTCTTTACCGAAAGACAGCGATGATCTGATACTCCAAGTGAGCGCAACGAATTCACCCTCGCTTCTTCCCCTCAACCGAGCTGGAACATGATACTGCGCTGCAGATACTAGACTGAAGAGAAAGCAGCCTCAACATCAACGACGCGATGCCCCTTCAATATCAGGAAAGTCCATCCGCAATCCCACTAACACCCATAAGCAAACCTCACCCAAACTTCGACAACCCACGCTTCCGCAACCACATTGGTTCCGACCTTCATGCAGGTGACGGGCCTCCCAATATCCGGACCTATAGCTACCCCTCCACCCGGGCCTCCCATTGGTCGCCGGCGGCCGGCGCTTCGTAGCCCCACTTTCAAGGACCCGAGCCAGGACCAGGTGCCAGGCCCGAACGGCCCGCTCCTTGCAAGGATCCCCGTCTTTCCATTTCTTTGTGGCATTTCTCCCTCAACAGCCACCCGTTGCTTTCAGTCTCCTGCTGCGCGGCAAAACGCCGCTTCTGCGACCGAAACCAACCAGCCAGATTCTGAATGTTAGGTGGGCATCACGGCGCTCACATGAATTCCACGCGTCTCGTCGTCTAGATCTCCAAGCGCCCCGCGTCACAACAAGGCGACCTTCTCGGATTCTCCATCTCTCCGGCCGCAGTTCACTCCGGCGAACGTAGTTGAGAAAAAAGTTGTTAAATATTGTCTTCATTGTTTGGGTGTGGTCCTTTGTAAATAATCTGAGGTGAGTGGCCTCCGCGGGGAGCTGGCTTATCCTTCTTTCCTCCCCTCCTCCCCCCTCCTCCCATCTCTTCTCTCTCTCCTATGGTCTATACTACAGTGTACACTTTTTTCTTAGTCATGTGAATAATACAATCGAGTAAAGCAATGAGGCTTCCTCCATAAACCAAACAAACATGGGCTGGTAATCTCCTTTCCCCCTTCGGAAGGTCGGGGGCACAAAGAAGCCAGAAACCCATGAATAAAAACCTTGTTAAACACCTGCCATGCAAGATCCTCCAACACTTTTCCGCTCTTCTATAAGTTCGCGTCTACACCCGCCAAGGCTCGCGCAAGGAGGCCCGAGATATGGTACAAGGACGGAGGACATTAAAGACACCTTCTAGCTCAAGACGAGCCACCAAGAGCTCAAGAGTCCTTCTTGGACTCGTCCTTCTTCTCGTCCGTCTTCTTATCCGTTGTTGCCGCACCGTCTTCGCCAGGCTTCTGGTGAGCCGGGTGGTTCGTCAGGGTGTGCCACATGGACTTGAGGAAGCCTTCGTTCTTGTGAGTCTCGGAGTCGTCGGGCGAAGCTGGCTGGGTTCTACTTTCGGGAATTAGTACAAACGGGCGTCGAGGTGTGTCCTAGTTTCAGGACAGAGTGAGGTAGAGAGGAAAGAAGACGCAGAAAAGTCCGGTGTCGACTGGTTCGCTCGCTCGCCCGTGTTCTCGCGCAGGTAAAAGGACTCACCCCTGGGGAGTGACGTTCATAATCTTCCGCGCCGTCTTGTCTCCCATCTCGTTCGCCAGCATCTCCACCAGCGTACGCTGGTTCGCGCTCAGGTACTTGGGCATATTAACCCGGAACTCCACCTTGAGGTCGCCTGAGCCGCCCCGTCTGCCGTTGAGCTTCTTCATGCCCATGCCCGACAGCGTCAGCTTGTCGCCTGTGTTGGTGCCCGTCGCCACCTTGACGTTGACCTGCCCGTCAAGCGTCGGCACCGTTACCTCGCCGCCGAGCATCGCCGTCGTGATGGGGATGCTGGCCGTATACAGGATATCCGACCCGGCGCGGCGGAACTTGGGATCCGTCGCGACGCGCACAAAGACGTAGAGGTCGCCCTTTTGCGTCCGCATGCCCGCCTCGGCATTCTTGCCCGTCACGGGCGCGTCGCCCGCGCCGTCGACGCGCAGCCGCATCCCGTCCTCGATACCCGCGGGAATGTCGACCGTGATGGTCTTGCGCTCCCTCACGACGCCGTTGCCCGCGCACGACCTGCACTCCGACCCGCGGGGGATCGTCGTGCCCGTGCCGCCGCAGCTGCCGCACGTCGACGCCATCTGGAACCCGCCGTTCATAAAGTGCACCCGCGTGCCCGTCCCGTTGCACGACTTGCACGCCGACCGCTTGGTGCCCTGCTTGAGTCCGCTGCCCGTACACGTCCCGCACTCCGTCAGGGGCGTCACCGTGATGGTCTTGCTCGTTCCCTTGGCCGCCTCCATGAAGGATATGCTCGACTGCACCTCAATGTTGTCGCCTACCAGGATCTCCTGCTGGAAGGGGTTCCGTCCGCCTCCACCGCCGCCGCCGCGGCGTCCGAATCCCTGGCCGCCCGTGAATGCGGAGAAGATGTCGTCAAAGTTGAAGCCGCCGGCGCCGCCGAAGCCTCCTTGCCCTCCGAATCCGCCGCCGAATGGGTTTCCAGCGCCTCCGAACGGGTCGCCGCCGCCGCCGCTGGGGTCGAAGCCGGCAGCGCCGTACTGGTCGAATTGCTGCTTCTTCTTGGGATCGGACAGGATTTCGTATGCGCTCTGGATCTCGCCAAACTTCTCCTTCGCTCCGGCATCTTTGTTCGTGTCGGGGTGGTATTTCTTTGCCAGGCCGTAATATGCCTTCTTGATGTCGCCCGCAGATGCTGATTTGTCAACACCCAACGTCTTGTAGGGATCGCTCGGTGCGAGGTTGGCGGATGTCGCATGAAATGCCTTAGATAGTAAACATTTAGCAAGCTGTGTAAATACTCTAGCAAGCAATAAATACTTACACGTTTGGATGAGGGAGCTTGAGATGTCACCCGAGAAGCTAGAGGCTTCGTGGGTCTAACGGTACAAGTGACGGTGTGGATTTGGGCGCGTTTGCAAACCGAATCCTTGAGCTTGGATTGCCTGGAAATACGGCTAGACAGCAGACGACCCGGGGCCGCTGCCTTGGTAAGAATGCTTGCATTCATTGTGAAGCTTGTCGATTCATCTGAAGCAGTATGTCGTAGATTTTAGGGGGTTAAATTGGCCCGGGGATGCGGAAAAAGCATCAAGGTCCAAGTGGAACTCTCCCGCAAATTCTTTGCCCTTCGATGCCATTGAAGACGGGATGATATCAACTTTTTTTTTGGCCCGATGCTAAGCCGAAAGTCGGTGATTGCCTCAGGCACCTGCAGCAAGAAGGGCGCGGGTGAGTGCAGGGGGACCGGGGGTAATTTGGGTAGGTAAAATGGGGGTAACTGCTGCACCTCAAGCTTCACGTCAGCAATTTGGGATGGCTTTAAGTGGCCGGCGAACAGGCCCCACAGCCCGCAGGTGGAAATTCGCGGCTACTTCTGGGGGATGCGCGTTGTGCGTGCATAAGCCTTTGGTGCGCCGGGACTCGGAGGAGTAGCCGGGGGAATTAAGGCGCCAGTGTCCAGACCAAATGCAAATTGCTGAAGACTCTCCCAATCCAGAACTCCATATTCCATTACTGTGGTAGATCATAACTATTTAAAACAAAAAATCGAGACAGAGGATCTTGCCTTTGTCGTCTATCGTCATGGGGGGTTTCCTGCCCACGGTGAGGTATCATTATGCAGTCCGAAATCGCCCGAACGGCCGGCGTGGCTCTATGCTCCGGTGACACAAAGACACCCGTCAATCAACTTCTTTCGATGCGTGTAATTCCCAAGCAATATTCGTTCCGTCATTAATCTTCAAGCGTCGTGCGATTTCGAGTTCGCTCTTCTGTGGCGGTCGCCTTTGGTTATAGCTTGGCTCCTGACTTTGTGAATAAAGTCGACGATGACATCGTTTTCTTGTATGCCGACACCGTTGAAGTGTTTCCGCACCGTCATCGCTAGTTGCTCTTTGCTCTGCCTTCTGTTCTCTTTCTTTCGGGCCATCGTTGGGGAGTGTAGGCCAATGCCACCGGGTCGCGAGAGAACCAATTGACGGTAGGAGCATGAGAAGGAGGTAGGTGTATTGAGGTGGTGTTCGCGACGGTACGCATGAAGTGTGTCTCGCTCAAAGGTTTTCCATTGAATCTGGACATGACAAAGTTAGCCGGTAGTTTTCCAAGGCTGGGATGTCTGCATGGGTTATGGCGAGGTCGAAGAGGCGAGGTCCATTCTTACGCCAGGATTTTGAGCAGCCTCCTTGGCCGGAGTGGGAGCATCAGCAGAAGCGTTTGCATTCGTGACTTCTCGCAATTGAGAGCCCGTCGAGCTAGCTACACGACGAAGCTTGCCATTCGAGTGACCGCCAGAACCAGATGTGTGCTTCTCTTTCGTGTTTGTGTTCTCGGACTTTGTGTCGTCGTGAGCGACCTTGGAAGATTTGGGTGCCATAGCAATGGTAAGGATAAAACGAGGATTTGCCGAGGTTGTCGTAGCTGGTTTGGTACAGGTCGCAGGAAATGGGGGAGAGAGGCGTGCCCAGGTATCACATCGTACTCGAAAATGGAGACTGGGAAGAAAACGATGAGGGTGTGGTGAGGGGGGGGGGGAGGAAGAGGCAGGGACGGGGCGGGAGAGTGGAAGCGTGGATGAGCAGTGGACAAGAAGGGGATTTTTTCTCACGTCATGGCACCAAACAGCCGGCGGCGGCGCCTCTGTTGGTTGCTGGCAGGTTACCCAGGGCCTTGCCTGCCTCGAGGAGCCAGCTGCGGGGCGGCCACTGGCGGCATGGCGGAATTCGGGGTCTGGCGCGAACTCTGAGCAGCGAGCGCTGAACAGTTGGAGAGGCACGAGAGGTTGTGCCTGGAAAAGTTGGGCCCCGTTGCTGGCGTCAATGTGGTGCGACATCGGTACGTACACAAAGTCGCTGCTTGAAATACGATCCCCGACATTCAGCCTGCTTACCTAAGTTATATACACACATCGGCTCCGGAGCAAATTTTCAGCTCCAGCCTATTTGGGATAGCGCAGTGATGGACCCTCCCTCGACATGAGCGGAGGTTCCATCGGCCCCTCACCTTTTTCCGCGCGCTCCAACTCCAGGCGTCTACCTACCTATTCCCGCCGTGCTTTCATTGAGCAAACAGATTCTGCTAATTCAGACGCGTAGAATCTAGACGCCCTTCACCTGGGTATCCAGTCTCGAGTCAATATTAGCAGCTGCAGCCTGAACCCTTTGAACACTGCAAGCAATGCGTGCCACCCGCGAACAGAATACGGACTTGGATTGGCAAGTTGCCAGTCCAGGTAGGGGCAGTAAATCAAGCTTTCGATTGGGGAAGCTTCCGTCCGCCGCGAATTAAAATCACAGAATGCAGCACTTATTCAGCAGAGCTTGGAAATTAAGGCCGTTGTGCGCCCAGCGGTTGCCGTCTGCTTGCACAGGACAATCCCATTTCACAAACTCAACCCCAATTTCCCCACATCGAGGGAGGACGACTCTTGGCTACACGAACACATCGGCCGCATCCGCGAGCACCAAGGGAGCTTCTCATTCATTCTTGGCCTCCTGATCGAGCCAGGGCATATCTCAAGACCTCCAGGGCTCCCGGCCATACAGATACCCGAGTCACAATGCGGCCCGCGAGATTTGCCCGACAAGACCGTGTCTGGGTTTCTATCCCCCACGCTGTACGAAACACTAGGTGTGGCTGGCCCAGTAGCTCGGGCTACCATCTCGCACGTAATTGAATCTTTACATGAGGGTCATCCCGCGTCGAGACGCAGGTGGACCAAGAGACCCCCAAACTTTCTTTCGACGCCAGACTTGGGAGCCCCACGACGTTCTATCTGCTCTATTCCGAAACTAATATCGAAACTAACTACAGAGTACGCAGGCCAGACAAGAGAGAATATCGTCTACATTAAGGCCTCGAAATTTCGTCGAGTCATTTGATAGACGCCCCGGCTCTGCCACAGGCCGCAAGAAGGGGGGCTGACTACCCAAACGATACATGATCGGGCATCCTCATTCGAATGCGCATCGGCTTGCGGATTGGTCAGGTGTCAAACCTGTCCACAGCTCCAATCCGCAAGTACATGCGCAAGTGGCACGCTTTTGATGAGAGACCTGAACCCTCACGACCTTTTGCCCGCCGTAGGCGCCACAAATCTCTACCAATGATATTCATCCGGAAAGAAGAGTCGATAGCATGACCACACAAATCGTCCAAAGAACCGCAGCTCCAAGACCAACACGAAAATCATCGACTTGCAGTCAGTTGGGTTTATTTCCGAACTGTGGCTTGCCCGGGAGATCATTTAGTTGTTACTCTCACCCTTGAGGGCCCACGGCCAGCTTGCAAAGGACCTTGTCCCTGCCAAAGCTCACCGTGAGTGGAGCCGGCTGTCTGTGGTTTCCCTCCAACAGACGCTGACCGACGATCAGCTAAATATCCCTGCAACCACCTCCACCACAACTTTTGGCGAGTCGCCTCGGCCCTAGGCTGAAGAGTACAGTTATAGATGACGGCTAGGAGTACTATCTACATCATCTAGCTGGCAACTTAACGCCAGATTTCCTTGGCCTCCCTTCTCTTCCAGAGATGCGATTTTCCACGTCAGGTGGCACCGTAACCTGCCTAGAGAGAGGCGATCCGAAATCCAGCTGGGTCATCGCCATTTCGAACGAGTTGTTTGGCGGCGTGACTACCAGGGCGAAAAGAAAAAGCGTCCTGCGCAGCTGCGAAGCACTATTACGGTGCAGGGTACCAGGATGGCGAGTCCGAAGACCCATCGTTTCCGAGTCGAACAGCTATTCCCAACCAGTTACCATCAATCTGTTGACTGAAGCAATGCGACTTGAGCCCATTTGACTGCCAGCATCGAATGAAGGCGGGCTTGGATAGCTGCCTACGAGCAAATTTGGAGTGCCAGTGCCTCGACCCAAGAGGGTCGTGTGCTGCCTTTCCGATTTCAGGGTCTATACCAGATTGGGAACCCATTACGAGATGAGAAGAGCCAAGGTATTAAGAGTGCATCAACGGGGATGGCCGACGTACCGGCTGAGACTCCGGAAATACTCTTTTGAACGTATCCGTCTGCTTCGAACTTGAGACTATGCCGACTTGGAAGATTCACCCACGCCCCACCCGAGAATGCGGTATTTGTTCCTGATGTGCCTCACGCATCTCAGCCTCAGAGCGTGGGGTTGATAACTGGCACAAGATCAACAACGACATGGCATCCGCCTTCGGGTGAAATCGAACGCGTATGATGGGCGGCTAGCTTGGAGTGTCACAACATGGCCGTTTCCGAGCGTTATCAGTGAGTGCTGCAGCTTCGGTTTGACAGCGACAACTTAGACGCGATAGCCGGGCAGTTTGGAAGGTCTGGTGCGACCTGCCACGAAAATAACCACGTGTGAGATTAACGGTGACAGGTGACTGACAGGCAATTTGCAGCAAATTTGTGCTGGCTCTGTGGCGCAACCCAGCCTCTCTTCTGCGTCTTGCTCGACGCTCAGGGTGTCCTTCTCTCACGTTGTCTTACTTTTCTGTCAACACAACACCACCCTCGAGCGGGCAATTTTGCAGCTATTAGCACCATTGACGCCGAGGCACCACGGAGCGGCAGAGGGCCATGAAGCAAATTACGTGGGCAATTACACTAATGAGAACGATCTCGGTGGGAATTTTGACAGTGTCGTCCGTGGGTAGCTAACCACCAAATAACGCAGATGCTGGTTGGCAAAGGCTGGCAGCAATACCCCCCAAAAAGAAGCTCGAGAAGTCTAGGTGACACCGGCGGCCGATCCACGCAACCATGTCGATAGGCCGGGGTATGGCGCCCCAGAAGAGTGAGGTCCACCGTCCAAGCTCCAGACCGTGCCCATCCCCACACGTCTCGTCTTCTTCAAGTGAGCTACGGAGGGGACTCGAGTCTCACACCGGCCATCCCTGCAGAAGCTAGCCACGCCAGTCACGGACGGCATGGGCATGCTTGTCGTAAGGCGAGCGAGGAGAACTCGGGGGATCTTTGGGGGTCTCTAGGCGGGGACCCTCTAGCTCGAAGGGACCCGTCTGTGTTTGCTGTGCTCATCCAGTTGACGGTCGTACGACGACAGAGACCACCACTTGGAAATGTCATGAGAGCACCCTCTCAGCTTGACTGACCCGCTCCGTTGCCTCGCTACTCGGAACCATGTGGAGCTATTGTGAGAGCAAAACGTCAC